GGCTGATGTCAGACAAAGGACCAGGAGTGTGTTTGTAATTGGCTGGTTATGAATTGACTGTATTTAATGACTTATACCTAATATTTGATCTTCTTTCTACTTTGATCTACTACTTTCTGCAGTCTTTGGACTGGAAAGAAAACTTTAATTCAGATCAGAGGGAAAATTGAACCCCTCAATTAAAATGAAGAAAGTGATACATTTAAAGAGGTAACGGCCATCTTTCCTGGTCCTTTGTCTGACATCAGCCGCATCACTTTGTCGTTGTTTCATTGGACTCCAACTAAATGAAGGTCCAGCTTTATCTTTTTTTTTTTTATAAAGTATGCTGATTAATCCCTCACCTCTGCTTAGCCTGTATTTTTCTTTTTGAGATGTGAATAATTTCAGTCAGTCTCAGACACTGACTAGTGTTTCTTCTGATGTTTTGTCTTTGGGTCATTCTGCTCTGAAGCTTAAGTCGGCTTCCTCAGTGGGCCTGCATGTTTCCCCTTTCACCACCAGCTTTTAGCCACACTGGGCCGAATTATACCCTTAAAGGAGTTAAGTTTTATTTTTACACATTTAATGAATCCAGAACTGTTGAATTAGATTTTATTTTTTCTCCCGTTGGCGCCTGTACGGCTGAGTGTGTTGTCCAGGTTACTCGGCTTATCTGACGGTTTGGTTCTGGTTTTTCTGAATGTACATTCTACGACTTTGCCCTTTAAAAGTCCCCTTAAAGTGCTTTTTGTTCTCTTTAGTCAGCATTTTGCCTGTCGACTTCAGAGTCTCTAATGGGCTTCATAAGTGGCCTTTGTCTGAGGTGACCGTCAGGGAGGCTGTGGTGGAAGTACATCTGGCACTTTGGACACGATGGAGCATCTGGCTTCTGTAAGCAGGATTTCATCAGCTGGTGTTCGGTTTCACGTGTAAAACTCATTTTTCCGCTGTGATAATGTAAGTGGACTCTCTGCTTGTGTTAATTAGACACATGATGGACGCTGAGAGACAGGTGTGACCAACGGAGTGTGACGGGACGGCTCCCACCAAATCCACCTGGGGTTCAGCCTGGAAAGTCCGGTGGATTCCGAGCCGCACCTGATCCTCCCCGGAGACCTCCAGCAGGAGCAGCGAGGTGGGTGGAGGAGAGGTGGAGGCTGCTTGTTCTGCTGGATGAAACCCAGCAGAACGGAACCCGGCCAATAGTCAGCCGGATCAGGGAAATTAATTATTCTCATCAAACCAGTCCATTTGGTTCATTAAAGCAAAGCTTTTCACAATGGGACCAAATCCTGCTAGATCAGCAGATTGAGAGGAAACATTGAAGTTGTCTGCAAACTGTTCTGATTTAAGACTTTTATTTCAAGTGTCAGTAGCCCTTTTCAAACAGCAGGTTAAATGTAATCGTAGTGCAGCACGTCCATGTTTAAACTGGATAATTTTTCCACTAAAGTTTATTTTGTTCAAATGTAGCTAAAAGTTTTCTAATAAAATCAGGCAACTGACCAAACGTACAATAGGTTGTGAAAAAACACAAAAGCTTTATTGTCTGACATTTCTAAAGCCAATGGTCACAGCAGAGTTCATGAGACGTAACAGTTATCACTTTAAGCGGCTTGTGCGTTGTTTCCACCTCCTTTACAAACGTGTGTGTGTGTGTGTAGACCCAGTGGCAGGAAGACTGACGAGTCCATGAACCAGTTGGCATGTGTTCTGAAGTTAGATCTGTGTGTTTGCATATTTGTGGGACGACGCTCCATCTGAAAGCTTCTTCTCAAAAGAGACGTTTCTCATAACTGTGAGAAAGAAAAGTCAGAATCAGAGGATGGACCACACGACAGTCGATAATTCTCAGGTTTCCTGTTGAGAGACAGGCTCTAGGGGAAGTTTAACCCTGTGGTTAAGGCATGAAAGTAAGACAATGGAATGTGAAAGCAGGCCTGTGTGTGTACCTGTGAAGACTGTGTACGCCGCCCTCTATCTGGGCGGATGCGGTTCTCTTTTCAAACTTCAGGTCGCCGGAGTACATCATGGCTCTGAGGGCAGAGATGGACGTTAGGATAGCAGAGAGAAGAGACCACACCGCCAACAAGTAAGACTGGAAAAAACGCAATCTTTTTTAAAGCTGATTTAACAACCCACTACACAGCCCCGATGAAGCTAAAGAATCTTTAGAGACGAGGACACCGCCGTCCTTTTAAAAAAAAAAAAAGTCAACCATCATATCTATCACAGGGTCGGGGCAGGAGCAGAATATCACCCACATCCCGCCGGGCTGGCTAACTTTATCTCTATGCTGGGGGCTACGCGCAGGCCCCCCGGCTGAGGGCCTCAGTACTGAACCTCAGGCTGCAGCTGAGGGTCGGTCATCACAAACGGGCAGATCACCTGTTTGAGTCGAGTTTAGCAGGGGAGGCAGTGAACGGGAACGTTGGACAGAGGTTTTTCTGCTTTCAGCAGCTTTTCTGTCTGTAGTTTTTTCCCCCATTTCAATCAACAGAAGTCAGACTTCATAGAAGTTCAGGTTGAACAACCCCGTGTCAAGAACCTTTGGGGCTGTACTGGTCAGAGTCTCAAAGGTGGTGGTGTTAACAGGAGCATTATTTATTAATAGTTCACTGATCCTAAACTAGCTTCAAATATTAAGTATTTAAGGTAGTTAAAAAAAAAAAGGTTCTGACGAGGTACCGCTGTAGGAGTAAAGTTAAGCTCTGAGCCGACTGGCATGAAGAGCGTCCGCACACTGATTGGTGGGCCTGGTCTGTTGGAGCCACTAAAAGAGCTCCGTTACCCTGCAGGTCTCCATGGTGACGCGTTTACCTGAGCTGCGTCAGGCTTTTGGCTCCGATGTCCTGACAGGAATGCTGCACTCCAGCCAGCAGGTAGGGGACAAACTTGTGGATGGATCCTTTGTCCTGCACCGCTCCGGAGACGCCCTGAGCCACTTTGATCTTGTCGCACTCACTGTGAAGGCAGAAGGTAACGGGTGGAGCGTTTAGTGACGTGTTGCAGCTGAAACCACCATCACTGCTCTGAACACTTCCTATTAAATGCCTTTTTCCTCTTAATAAAATGTCTGCGGGTTTTTCTCTCTAACCCCCCCCCCCACACACACATAAAGAGGAAGAAGTATGGAGAACTGGCAGATGACGGCGTGTTGACACTCTCCACTGCAGCTGTTGTGTACCTGAAGTATCTGGTCTGAGAGCCCAGGTTTTTGTCCATGGCATCCAGGGACCCCATGCCTCGGTATTTCTTCAGCCTGATGCCGTCCGAGAAGAAGTATTCTCCTGGCGCCTCGCTGGTGGCGGCCAGCAGAGAGCCCATCATCACTGGACACACAGAGGGCCGGGTTTTTAGGTGGATCACGTTCGGTGTTTCCCAGAATCCTCAAAGCGCCGCTGCGTCTTTACCTGTGGAGGCGCCGAGCGCTAAAGCTTTGGCGACGTGTCCAACAGTCTGGATCCCGCCGTCAGCGATGACTGGAATGCCAAAACGCCTGGCGTACTCTGAAACCTTGTAGACGGCCGTGGCCTGGGGCCTGCCACAGGCCAGCACTGGGGGGGGGGGGACAAGAGAAAACAAACCTTTTATCTGTACCAGCCTGTGTCTCTGAAAGGCTACAGGCTCCAACAGTTTCTGCTCTTGGAATGCTGCCAAAGCAGAAAAAGGAATTCCCAGCAAGCTGATGATTTGATAGTCAATGTCCAACCTGAGTACATGCGCTGTACAAGAAAGTGATGGAAGGAGGAAAAAAAGATAAATCAGTGTGTGTGGGTGTGTGTTATGGTTTGTTATAACGTGAGAATGAGGAAGTTAAACTTGTCACATCAGCACAGAAATATGACTTTGCTGCTAAAACTCTAAACCAGACTCAGGAACTGCCAGCTCTGAGCTGCATACGGCCAACAAGAGGACTTTAATATCTCAAAAAAGTTCAAGCCAATCACATACAAAAAGTAGACGCCAACATAAAAATATCTAACAAGAGAATTGTCTCTATTCTTATTTTTTAACCACTGCTTTTGCGTGTTGACAACTCTGGGTACTTCAGCTGTTCCTAATCATCCTCCAATGCTCCTGCTCACCTTAAACCAGCCCACTGTGGCCGTCACAACGCTGAGAGCTGCTGCAGTTATTTAAAAAGAGAGGAGTGGGTCTGATGACATTTGCAGAAAGGAAAATCAGAAGTTGGTTGAATATTAGCGTCTGCTTTTCAAAAGTCACGGGTGATTATTTCTGAGCTGTAAACCAAAGCTGCCAACTGATTAAAAAGAGGCCCCAACCCCAGGCAAAATGTGCTGAACAGAGCCACCGTGTGGCAGCCAGCGGCTCCAGTTAGGAATGTGAGTCAGCAACCAATCCCAACTATGGTTCTCATGACTTTATCTGACCCTTTGGTTTTTGCACAGAGTCTGAAAACCAGAGACCAAAAGGTCAGCAAAGTGGGAGGGGACATTCACCTCGGATGATTAACAGATTAGTGTGGTCACAAGAACAAGCAGAACCCCAAAACCCCAACACCTAACCTACATGTACAGATGCAAAGCTGTTATCCAATCAATGCAGCAGGCTGTGAAGGGGGAGGGGCACTGTAACAGTGGAGCCAATCAATACCCAGCACAAGCCAGCAGGAGAACTTACTGGAGTATCCTGTAACTGTGGTTGGGATTTTGGGGCTGTGGAGCTTTAAAGCTGGTGGGACACTGAGGGGAGCTGGACACGGACACGTAGACACACACACACACACACACATACATACATACATACACAAACACACCAGACGAGGGGAGGGTTTAAGAGCAAAAACAGCAAATGAAAGAGAGGGAAGAGGACAAAGATGAATATTTTAAAAAGGAAAAAATAAACAACAAACACTGCGATGATGTGAGTGGACGCCACGATGAGGGGTCAACCAAGGTCACAGACACAGCACGGAGACGATGCACAGCACCGATACCCTTCTTTTTACAACTCAAAGGAAGAATCTGACACGTGGTTAATCTATAACTACATTTATCATCTGAAGCCTCAGAATGGGCCATCCCCAAAAGAAACAACAGCAAACTGAACCCGCAGCAGCCTCACAGCCCTAAAGCAAAGCGCACCCAGTCAGCGGTGCTGAGAGGCAGACCTCCTATCAGAGCTACCAAATCCCACTGCTCCTGAAAGCAACACCAAGGCCTTTTTCCACCCAGACAGAAAACAAAAATAAATGGACCCTGGTTCTGACAACTTTATAATCCTGTCTGAGCTTCAGAATGAGTCCAACATCGCACTTTACACCCCCAAACTGTTCAACCCTTTTTCTGTCTGAGGTCCAACAGCAGGTCAACCACAGACCGCCGGAGACGTGTGTGTGTAGGCGGGACAGATTGCGCCGTGGGAGGCGTTTCTCCTCGGGCTGACCATCTGCCACTCACCTTCCTGTGTGATGCAGATGGAGCCGCTGCCCATGCCCACTCTCAGCCCGTCCACGCCGGCATCGATCAGGTTCTTGGCCTGAGCTGCGGTCACCACTGCGGCAGACAGGAGGACACACACACCGTCAGAGATGACATCACGATCCGCCACGCTTACAAAACGGGCCGCAAACAGGCAGCAACATGAAATCAATAAGCTCTAAGAGTCCTCCACTTAAGTCATGTGAAAGTGTTTAGAGCAGAAGAGCTGTGTGGAGGTACCGTTGCCTCCGATGACCTGCAGGTGGGGGTACTTCTCCTTGATATATTTGATCATGTTGATCTGGAAGATGGAGTTGCCCTGCGATGAATCCTGGACAAAAAAAAACAAAGCGCATCTTAAGGGTCCGTAAAAACAACTTTCCACTAACTAACTCAAACACATTTAGGTGCAGGCGGCCTGCAGTAACATCAGGCCTCGCTCTGACCGGCGCCCGGTCCCACCCACCAGCACGACCACGTCCACCCCGCTCTGCACCAGCAGGTCCAGCCGGTACTTGTCGTCGTTGTGGGTGCCGATGGCGGCGCCGCACAGCAGCTGCTTTCGAGAGTCTTTGGAGGCCAGGGGGAAGTCTCTGTTTTTCTTCAGGTCCGTGCGGGCGATGATGGACACCAGGGAGCCCTCCTCGTTCACGATGGGCAGTTTGCCTGCGGCAGGGAGCAGAGACGTGAGGACGCGCACAGGGCCGCCCGACCAGCGCTCCCTCTGTAAGTGTCAGTCTGTGCTAAAGCCACGGGGGGGGTCTCCTTCACCTTTCTTGCTCCTCTGAAGGATCTCGTTAGCCTCTTTTAGTGTCACTCCAGCTGGAGCCACCACCAGCTCCTCTCGCTTTGTCATCACCTGTCAGAGGAACAAGTTCACCCTTAAAGTTTCTGGAACGATTTTGAATTGAAAGACCTCCTTTTAAAACAAAAGAAAGATTCAAGGGGGACTAAATCAACTGGCTTCTCTTGGTTTTTCACTTTTTTTTTGTCATGGGCACACATGTTACAAAGCTCCTCACACAGCTGTCTATGAATTCTTTAAATCTGAAGATTCTATAGTGCACAGCAAGAAATAAAGATTTTATTGACTCCCATTTTTAATGGATTGCGGGCAGAGTCCAAACTCTCTTTTTTGTGATTGACTAAAAGATTTCAGCTCCAAACTGTCTGACTAAAGTCTGCCGTTCTTTTGCAGCTTCAGAAACATTTCAGACACACAAAACGACCAAATCTTGTTCTGCCGGGCGCCCACTGATAACGTCCACGACACAAACAGAAACACCCTAACCCTCATCAGCATTAGTCACCTCGCTCAGCGGCAGGTTGTGGTCTTCCTCTTTCAGGAAGTCGATGTCTCTGGAGGAGATGATTCCCACCAGCTTGCCGCCCATTTTGCCGCTGTCTGTGATGGGGATGCCGCAGAAGCCGTGCCGCGCTTTGGCCTGGAAGACGTCCCGCACGCGCTCACTGGGACTCATCACCACGGGGTCTGTGATGAAGCCCTGCTCATACCGCTGCAACGGGGGGGGGGGGGAGGATCAGGAAAAGGGCTTTGGAGGGGCCGAGAGCACAAGAAGCCGGGCCAACGGAGGGCAGAAAAAAAAAGATAGCAGCCTACGTCCTACAGCTGGAGAGCGAGGGACGCTGAGAAAAAGACTACGACTCAAGGAGGTAATATACGCTCAGGGGGGGATTTAGGACTAAAGTAAGACAATAAGCGCATGGAGGGCCGGAAAAAGAAAATAAAGAAGAGAGAAAATGAAAAAGCGTGTAAAAGACAAATGAAACATGCAGACGATCCCGTTCTCTACCTTGACTTTGCGAACTTCATTGGCCTGAAACTCTGGAGTGCAGTTGTGGTGAATAAAACCGATTCCTCCCGTTAGCTGGAGGAAGGGCACAAAGTCAACATGGCAGCGTTTAGGCCCCAGCCCTCAAACAAACCCATCAAAGCCCCCCCACCCCCCACCCCACGTGTGCCACTCACAGCCATGGCGATGGCCATGTTGGCCTCGGTGACCGTGTCCATGGGGGAGGACACTAAGGGGGTCTTCATGGTGATCTGTTTGGTGAGCGCCGACGTCAGGTCCTGGACAGACCAAAGAGGAAGAGACACCTGGAATAATTTGGGCTCACACACACCAGCCCTTCACTCCAGGGCTCCTGGTGTCAAAGGTCACCGCATCAAGTCCATTCAAGTCAAAGGTGATGCTCAAACTTAGTTAATATAATTTAAACACATCCTCCAATCATGGCTTTTTCTCTTAGCTGCAACTGTTTCTGAGAGCTAAAAAATACTTTATTTTACAATCAGTTTTTTTTTATTATTGGTAATTGAATTGATTATAAATCACGGCCCTCTTTAAACCAGTTTTGTAGTGTCCCTATTCTGCAGGTGTGTGAAGCCTGTGCGACACATCCTCTAAAATGCAGCGGCCCACAGGATCCAAAAACATGGCTGCGGGTGCTGTACAGTCATCCCGTGAATGCGAGCTCTTTCCAGACGAAAACAGCTCTAATCTCTTCAGCTGAAGGCATTTCACCATTCAGACACAGACCGCGTTTCCTTTAACGTCCCTAACCCCTTTATCAGGTCTGTGTGAGTGTGTGCGTGGAGGAAACGGACCTAAATAATGCTTTGCACAACTAAAGGCTGAGATACACCATGTTTACTGTAGATAAATATGTGCTGATGTGTCTGCCAGGAACAACAACAGAACCAAATCAACTGCAGATGTTTGTTTAGTTCTGCTCACACATCTGGCTGTGAAGAGGCTCCAGCTTCTGTTGCCTGTCTGAGATCTTTAGAAAACAAGTGACCCCGAGCAGAGTATTAAAGAATGCTCTCTGCTTCTAACCAGCGTCTGCAGCCTCGCCTCTTCCTGCCTCCTTAGTTACGTTTGGCTCCCTGAACACAAATAAAAACAACTTCCTAAAGAAAAACACTCCCAACGCTGCGTGGTATTTCCCACTTGCTGCAGAGAGGAGGGAGCATGAGGAGCAGCCCTTATCGGGTCACAGGGTTCTCACACCAGTCTGTGCTAGTGTGACCACCACACAGGCCTGTGTTAAGAATAAAGAAATAAATCAGGAGCAGGGGACAAAAGCAGCCGTCACTGGGTCTGAACGAGTGGACATTTTTTTAAAAATGTTACAAAAAAAAAAGCACCAGGAGTTGAATTCACACACGACTGCCGTCAGATGAATGGAGGGCAGAGCGGCTGTGAACAGAAATGGTGCCTGAAGCAGCTCTTTTCCTGCTCACTGAGGGTCTGGTGATGGGAGGCAGACAGCTGAGGATCCTCGTCCCCCACCGTAAACCACCCCACACCTATGCAGCAAGGATCGATCTTCACTCACCACTTGGTCTGACGTGAAGTCGATGTAGCCCGGCAGAATGAGGAAGTCACTGAGGGAGAGAAAGGACAGCGGTTTAGGATGGAAACAAGCATCCCAACAGTACTGATCCCACCACACATCCCGCTTCTCTGCAATGCTACATTAAAAAAACAAGCAACAAATAACCACCTGACAGGTTTCTATGAGCTGTCAAGACTCAAAGGGTTACCTGCTGCTTATTTTTTTTTAATAGGAAAAGCAGGAGGAATTTTTTTTTTTAATGCATTTTAATGATCAAAAGACAGGTTTGAACAAGTTCAAGCTAGAAAAGAATTTCTCTCAGACAAAGCTTCAAACGGTGTTGTATTTCAAAAAGGTGTGCAGCACACACACACGCGGGTGAGTTTGTGATCCGGTCAAACCAGAAAGGAGGTAAAGGAGCTCTGGGTGCTACGCCCACAGCACCCAAATCAAACCAGAGCCCAACCAGCTCAGTGGATCTGAGGACACCAGCTCAGTAGAAGTTACTAGTGAAAAGCTCAGACTGCCCACTGTCGGACCTTTTCTGGTACATTTGCCTCCTTCCGGTCTGGGTTTCCCCATCACCAGTAACCAGCTCCATGAATGCATTCATCAATTTAAGATCCACTGCTGCTCACCACTGAAACGTCTCTGTAGTGTTTGCATCAGGAGCATAAAGAGTGAAGACAGGCTGCTGGGAGGCAGAAACTATCTGATAAAGAAGAAAAAAAAAAAAGGAGGCTCCTCTTAAAGCAGAAGTGACCTGTCCCTGGAGCGGGTCATTAAAGTTAAATGTGCAGCAGAGGGAAATACTCAGTTGCCAGCAATAGGTCACCTTTTAGGTAATGAGTGAAACATATTCAGCAGATTGCCAGAATGCATCCATTTCAAACTGCACTGTCAGCAGGTAAAACAACTCTAGAGTTTTATGCATCAGCCTCAGACATGACCATTTTACAATCAAGTCCTCACACATGGATAAAAGTAAGGAGACCTGCCTCTAATAAAAAAACTGTAGTTAATCACGTTTCCAGGCTATTCAAATGATCAGTCTTGGTCTCCATGCAAAAAGGAGCACTTTAGTTTGCCAAATTGCTTTGTTATGTTGTAGCTGTTAGGCTGCAAAGGTCACCAAATCAAGTCACAGAACTGGCCTTTCATTGTTGGCTTTTAAATCAGGTGCTGCTTAGGTTCCTGGTTTTTAAGAAAAGTACACTTGTGAGGATACTTATTAAAGACAACCTAATACAGCTTCTAAATATAGCTCAGATCCACAGGGTCCCACATTACAACACACAGTCAGGACCTAAATTTAGGAGCAGCCAGTGTGCTAAAAGGACATGTCCCCATTTTAATAAACGGGGAACACCATGTCAGATCACATACTTTTTTGTTTTTAAAAGGAAGCTCCTTTGGTATCAACACGTGGGATCGGTTTAAACTATTAAAATCTATAGAAAATTATCAAAAGTGGGTTACGAAACCTATTTGAGGGTCCAAATGGAAATGGGTCAGACTGACTCCTCTGTACAACGACAGCTGAGTTGTTTTTATCGTGAAAATATTATAATTTTTAGTACCACTACGGGGTACTGTGTTTTTGGAGCTCGGTTTATAGCAGGGACAATCCCCCCCCCTTTTCACGCAGAGCTCAGTATGCGTCCTGTCCGGGACCGTGTGTGAGTGTGAGTGTGTGTCTTTACTTGTAGGTGAGTCCGTCCCCGCAGTTTAACAGCTGCTGGCCGGTCAGCCCGTCCTCGGGCACGTAGCCGGTCTGCCCGCTGATGAGGTAGTCCGCCATGGCGTCCGAACACAACCGACTGCCAAAAAAATGACCTCAACCAGCTGTTGAGGTGAGGACGGAGCACAGAAACACTCACTGAGAAGACGGAACACACACTGGCCCAAAAGCAGAGGCCCAGAACTTTCTTCTTCTTCTTCCCCTCCTACTGGGACTTGACCTCCTCCCGGTAAGCTAACGGTCAAGCCTCTTCCCGCCTCGCGCGCCTCCTGGCTGAGTCCTGCTGCCCGGGCGCGTGTTCCCGATTCAAAGCTGGGCTTAAAAGTGTCAGTGTGGGGAAAAATGTCTACTTTGTGGTCCCTCTGTGGGCTCGAGTCCGTCACGCATGTTCTTTTCACAGCTCCCGCAAACACGTGCAACAATTCCGTCCAACAGCTTCCGACACCTACGTCACATCCGGTTCAACGCCGCCGCTAATGCCGCACTACCCCTTTTTAAAAGGAAAAAGTCATTTCAAAGTTTAAAACATGTTACCTGGATTCCATTATTTCATATGTGAATTCATTGTTATAATTTTAAGTGACGACATTCGCGAAGTATAACCATCGATTTAAGACCTTTTAATGGTTTTAAACCTACTCCACTGTGTTTTGATTAGTGATGATTAATAGAGAGAGGCTTGTTCCTCTGAATAAATGCGTTTTGCGATGTATTCGTTTCACTAAGCTCAGACTGATGTATTCAAGGATGCAATAATAAAGAGAAACGGGCGCTGCCTGTCTGCAAACACTTGGGGGTGCCATCGACCAAATGCTGCATTGCAAGTGGAAACCAAAGTGGGTCATGAACAAGCAGCTGTAAATACTGTCTCTGACATGCTGATACACTTTACTTCATAAGGCTGGAGCACAGTCATCAAATCCTGTAACTAAAGGTCATTTTGATCATGTCAGAAGTGACCTGGGTTTCTGAACCATGCGTTAAAATACAAGGCAATAGGTTCTGAAAATCCCCTTTAATTTAGGTTAACTAATATTATTAAAAACTACTTCAAAGTCCTGGGGTAATTGGAGCTGCAGGGGATTATTTTATGCAGACGTGGGGGCAGGAAAAGAAGGGATCATATGGACTGACTTTTAAATTTGCAGCATCTCTATGAGCATGTCTGTCTCAATATCACAGAGGTTGTATGTTGAGTTTTAAGCAGCATTTACTTCTGCTTCTATGAACGACAACCTGTTGAAGGTTGTACCCCGCCTCTCACCCAATGTCAGCTGGGATAGCCCACAGCCAACCCTACTTTGAATAAGCATGTATGGGAAAGAGAAAAATGGATAGATTTACCTCCAAAAGTTTGCCAAATCACAAAATATTAGTCCCAAGGTAGTTTTTGTAATCTGTTGTTTGACTCCTATCTTTTCCAACTTCACTAAATCAATGTGTAGTGTTCTGTGACTTTAAAGTTGGGTAATCAACACACACGAGACAGGTTTTGGTTTTAAAAACTCTCAGTAACTCTATTTCTGTATTAATGTACAACCGTTGAAAATTACAGCAATTTTTTTTTTATTTTTGTTTTTTTTTCATTTTTTTTTTAAATGATCTATCTATCAACAGCCATTTTCCAGAAGAAAAGGTGAACAATGTGAGCTGGAGGAAAAGAAAAACAATGGAAATCGAAATGAACGTGTGACAAAGAATGATGAAAGAGCACGAGATGGGCAAAGGACAAATCAACGATTGTTTTTTTTTTCTTCTTGTGGAGTGTTTTAGCGTGAGTGTGTAGGCGTGAGCATGCCGTGTCAAAAATCGCTGGGAGGTGCAGTAATGTACATGAATGAATGAGATTACACTTGCTGCAACAAAGCAACCGTCATCTGCTCGGTGGATGTCCCAGAGTTAGATTTCTATGCAGAGGGCGCGGTCTGGACGGACACCTTACAACAGCAGCTAAATCAGATCGTTAGGAGACAAAAATGGGGATCGTTCAGGATCACCTTGAAATCAAGCCCAACACCAAACAAAGGAAGAAATCAATGTGAAACACCAGGGCAAAAAAATTAAAAGCAGCTGCCATCTAAAACAATCTGATTCTTTTCTCTCTGGGCTGCACCATATGCATGACAGGAAATACTGCTTTTTGTTTGGGTCAGTCTGAAATACCTCAAGGAGTATTTGGGACAATTGGGGCCACCTTTTTCATAGTCACATTAGATTCGTTTCTATGACTGGATACAATTTAAAACATGAAACTAAACAACCCTGAGCCTGAGAACTCTGCAACCAATGTGTAAGTTATCTCATGGAGCAGTGCCTGGTCTGACCGATGGCAGCTGGAGGTCAGAACGGGAGCACCGGCAGCAACACGGACCATCCACTGAAGAAGGGTCACTCTCCACTAGCTGGAAAAGTCTGACGCAACAGCAAACTTCACAAATACAAATACCAACCAACTCTGGCAATATCTCTTGAAATGAAACTTTGAAAGAAGTTAAACAGGTTCAAGCATCATTTACGTTTTCATTATTTGTGTATATCCACAAAATCCAGATTTACCACATAAAAAAAAGTTTTTCTTATCCACTTCATAACACAAGGTTCTCTATACCGAGCAGATTTACTCTCTTTCCATCACCACAGGACTAACTTTGAAAAATACTCATTATCCCAGTCTTAAACTTTTTGACTGTTGTATGTTTATGTCAGAATGAAATAGTGGGAATTCACTGTATTTTCAGACATTAGACCTCACACTTGGAGCTCCTAGATCAGGTCTGCTGAATAGTTGAAACAAGTGTAAGTGCAGTGACCGAGATGCTAAAAGTGTGAATGAGGTGAAAATGAAATAAGGTGGAAGCAACCCTGCAGCGAGAGGAAAGAAAGTCAGAGTGAAGAAAGCAACTGAGCGAGTTTAGAGGAGCAGCGGGAGGGTCAGCATGACGGCACCAAGGGATGGTCATGGAGGGATGCAAAGGTAGAAGGCAAGGAAGGAAGGAAGGAAGGAAGGAGGGAGGGAGATGCTGGTGCTTTGCAGTACGACTGGAGCCTCAGGTGTCGTGGAAATCCTTCAGCAGCGTACGTCGCCTTTGCTCAGCAATGTGCATCTGATTCTCCAAATCCTAAAAAAATAAATAAACAAAGAAATGGTTACAGGAAAGGTGTAGAGCTTTGAAACCCTCAGCCTGCCGTCATCGCTTCACATTACACAGACCCACGCTTGTCTTAATTCTGATTAGATCCCTGCCTGACTTTGCCTTCACTCCGGTTCCTTACCCCTCTGTCACTGGCGCTGAGCTCCCCCTCGCCTCCCACCACTCCCCTCTCGTAGGTGTCGGCTCGTTCCACCTTCCACGACAGGTTTTCAATTTCTGCTTCCAGCTGAGCCTGTTGGTACTCAAACTGTAGAGAGAAAAACAAAGCGACAAATCAGTTCAGTTACAGAATGAGCAACCAAGATTTGAGGCTCAATTACAAGTATTGCATCAAAAATAAGAGGAGGAATGCAAGAGCAGAAAGTCCCAGTTCATATAGAAACATCATTTCTAGGTTTTGGGAAATGGTTTGCTCCTCACCAGTTTCTTGCGGGGTCCAGATTCCATGTAATAGGCGTAAGGGTAGGTATACTGCAACGTGTAACGACACTGGGAGGATACAGACAGAAAACAAAGGCTGTGAACGCATCCGAACTCAAAACAAGGAAATCCCATCAACAGTTTAGGAATGAAGCAGGAATACTGTTCATGAGCCACAATAGAAAACGAGACATCAGATTATTTCTGAGAGCTCTCAGAAAACAACAAAATAAATAAAATGCAATGAACTCAGCGCAGTAACCTGATGAAAACAAGCAAACAAATTGTTGTTCAGGCATTGGCTGCCGTAAAGTTTAAGAGATTATTTAAAATCCCTCTTACTACTAAAAAGCTCTCAAAGGCCAGGCTCCTACATATCAGAAAGATTCTCTTATTGCCCATCAGCCTGCATGAATACTTCTCTCTCTGTACTGGTTTTTTTGTTACTGCCTGAATTTCCACAACAGAGCCTTTAGTTTTCATGCTGCTTTCCTGTGGAACCAGCTCCATCTTGGTGTGGGACACAAAATGAGCCAAAAACGTATTCCTTGAACAGACCATTTTGCAATTTACCGATTTACCTGCGAGTCACTTGTCTGAATAGACCAGTTTTTTTTTTTTATCCCTTTTGCCTGTAAATGGCACGTTATTTCTGCACTTCACCATCGGATCCTCACCAACTGTGTCTAAACACAGCTCAGACTTCAACAGTACCTTGGCCAGTAGCTTTGCAGCGTTGTGAAGGTACTGCCAGTCAATCCAAGTCCCCAAATTGTTCATTACTCTTTCCTGAATCTTCTCCTGAATCCTCTGGTATGTCTGAGCCTCCAGCTGCAGGGACTTATTGTGATTCTCCCACTTTAAAAGGGGAAAAAAAGTGGAAAAAAGGAGAAAAACCAATTAGATTTAGAAACACATCAGTTTCTGCATTTAAATAGAAAACAAAAAGTTGAACATTATTGGTGGAAAACTTGAGTCCACAAAGTCTGCTCACCAACTTGTGCCCGATACAACAAACTGAGTTACAACATGTGTCATGTAATGTGAAGAACAGGATTCAAACTAAACCTTTTAGCTGAAGACAAAACTCACCCTCTCAAAATAGAAGAGGTATTTTTTGAGCGCCTCTCTGGCCTGTGCCTGCTGGCTCTGGTTGACTATATCGGGGTTTTCCTTGTAGCGGCTGCACTCGTAGTATTCACTCCCGTGAGTCTTCCAGTCTCCAAGACACATCCAGCAGAAGTCTTCAGGAACACACAAAACACACCTTTAGGGCCAGGCTGTGTGCGGTTAGCAGCACATGTTTAAACAGTTGGTAGGATCTGTGGGTGCAGTTCTGCCGTCCAGTTGCTTCTCAAATTTCAGCCGCAGAAGGTAGAGTGAGGCTAACCCACACTTTCATTGAAGAGATGTTCACTGATATTCGACAGATGTATAAACCCTCGGTTTTTTTTGTGAGATTCATCTTAGCAGATGGCTCCATACAAGAGGTGGGAAACTATGAGGAACAACTCACCGTGTTTACACTTGGAGCATTGCTGAAACATACAAGAAAAAGTCAAGTTAATAAACCAGCAAAGTCGTGTAGGACACTTAATTAATCTGTGCTTTGTAGCAAACTTAATTGAGCCGGAGCATCACACATATGGCTTTAGGTTTAAAATCACAGAATAAAAACTAACAGCAGGTAAGGTTTTTTTCAGGATGGGTCTGAAGCAAGCGTGAGAATCTAAAGTTTAAGACCTCATTTCGCAGAATCCAACTGTATTTTTAGCATTTCCTGTGTTCTTGGAAAAGTGTGAAGTTCAGCTCTTACTCACCATGTGATTGCACCCTCCGTTCTTCTCGATGCAGATATTGCACTTGGGACACTGGTGGAAAAACACAACTCTCAGCTTCTCATTCAGATCCATGGAGCAGTTACATTCAGACTAGCTTCAATCTGTGACATTTGTCATGTTTCCCTTCAGTCATAACGTGTGTGTGTGTGTGTGGTCTTACGTCTTTAGTGTGTGCGCTGATGTAGTTTGCCGTTTCGGAGTCGTCTGCGCATTTGGTCAGCCATTTCCGAATGGTTGCGCAGTCTGTGGGTGCGTGATACATCTGCCGGCATTTAAAACTGAAGGAAGATCAACAAATTCATATATTAGATGGGTTGTTTTTGTATCGTTTGACACACAGGTTACCTGTTCCTAACTTAAGAGTGTTTGTGACCTACCAAAAGACTTCACCGCAGCGACTACACTGCACCCTGCGGGCCCGGGGCTCCTGCACCTTGATGACGATGGGACAGTCGGCACCCGGACACAACTGCAACTGGAAGTGACTCTGAAACACACATGTAAGCCAGAATTAACCCAAACATGAAAATGCATAAATCAAATATTGGGAAATGACGACTTAAAATGTGCGCAACTAACTCAAGTGAATAGCGTCAGTTTAAGATGTCCTCATTTGAATAAATAAATAAATAATCCAGCCTGGCTGGATGTACAGACGGCCAAACACAGCACCGTCAAAATGTGATGATTCACGACAAACAAAAGGATTCAAGTTCTCCTTCACACTGCCAATATAAATACTCAAGTCTTTGTTTGTTTTGCTTTTCAAACTTTGATGCATCATCTGAGCATACAGATTCGGCTCACAGAGAGCCCCTCACACACACACACACCTCGACATGGTCTCTGAAGAGGTAGCGTCTGTATTTGTCCTTCAGCTCCTCTCCTGGCAGCAGCGGCAGGACAAAGTCTTCTGGCATCTGCAGGGAACAGTCCTGAGCCATGCAGGAGATTCCTAAACACAAGCACACACACACACACACAAAAAAACAAACACACAAACTTTAAGTTCAAGGCAACATGTAGCCGTTTACTCCAACGAGATGAATCGAGCCCAACCAGGTCGGGAGCTGGGATTTGTCAGTTTACACTGCAGTGAACACACTCCTCTGCTCAGCTCCTGCACCCTCAGAAAAAGCAGATGATAATCATCATGCTCGACTGAATTCGTAGTGGAATGTGCTAATTGTTGCCAATTTTCTGCATGTAAAGGGAAAGATGGCAAAAAAAATTAAATAAATAAATAGTTTTCAAATCAGAGCAAATAAATCATTTATAGTCTTTAGTGACACCATAAAGTATGATGCAATTTTGTTTGGTATAAGCGGACTGGTTTCTAGTGTTACACTGACCTAGAAACAAGACTGGGGTCATCAGTCATCGTAAACATGTCCTTGGTGCAGCCAACAGAGAGAGGCTTATCAGATGACTCAGCCTATGCTTCTACGAACTGACTGAGAGGCCGTCTAAGAAACCGCACAAGAACCCAAGAGTGCACACACATGTTCATAAACATGATCCACTAATCAGCTTTAGGATGGTAAATCATTGGAAACTATACGCTTAACCACACGTATACAGTGCATTGCGCAACATTGTAGAACTGATCTGCGTTCGCACCCACACACCCATCTGCTGACCTGCTGACACAAGCTCACGCTTCCACAGACACACGCTGACTATCATGGGGCTGCAGCAGGAGGATGACTGCTTGTTAAACTTAACAGATGGGTGTTGTCAAAAGCTCCTATAAGCGCTGACACCTCCTGGATCTCCAGAACTGTTCTTGGGAACGCACAAACAAACGGGGACCGGAGCTCAAACATTCACGGTGTGCGCTGTTTGTTACCGGTGTGTGTAGCTGAACAAACCCTGCTGGCTGGCCAGGAAATCAAAGACGTTTCAAAATGGAGAGTGGGCAACACACACACACCAGAGCATAAACACACAAAGTGCAGACAAAGAGAAACCCAGGCAGGCCTTTGGAAGCTCTGAGCATACTGCGTGAGTCACCCACTCCAACACCAGCCTCGATGACTATACACACATACACATTCACACATTGAACAGTACTCACCCACTCCCATGCCATCTTTGACCAGTACGGTGCAGTGCTGCTCCCAGCATGCCTTGCAGAAGGAGTGCTGGCAGGGCAGAGCCAGCAGGGAGTCTCTCCGTACGACCTGTAGACACACGCCACACTGGAGGGACTGAGAGGCCTGAAACAAACACACAGTCATTATAAACACACTGATGGCTGTCCAGTTCTCATTACATGAGCACACCATTTTGCTGCGGGTTTCTCCTTTTGATGCTTTACAGATGGTCTAACAAACCGTGCCTAAAGTTACATTGAAACTTGAACTCCACTTAACATGATAAGTGATCTGAGGGAAATGTGCTGATTAAAATAAAATGAATTGAACTGGAAATACATTGATTATTTCAATTAGGAATTTGAATAAGAAAAAAGAGCTGCCGGAGCTTTGTGCATTTAAATCACATCATCAACAACATTTAAAGTGCATCTTCAAATGAGTGGCTGAAAGAAGAATTCCACTCACAGTGACTAATCTGCAGGTGCTGCTGGGCTGGACCAGAGCATCTGACAAAAGCAGAGAGGAGTTGGACTTATATCTGTTGGAAACGGACAGAAGTAGGAGTCGGATTAAGACTTTGTATGAAAAGTCAGCAAACAGATAAATCAACAAACATTAGCACTGTGCAGATGTATCAAATCATATCAGCATATGTGTCAGTGGGGCAAACGGCAGGGAAAAGAACAAAAGGAGAAGAGTGAGAGAAATTCATTAGAGACCACCAGAATGAAAGAAGAATTGGGGCAACGGGTTTGCAGTGGGAAAATCAGGGAAATCCAACACAGTGATGCAGCAATTTAAAAGCAATGGGGAGAATGACAGAAAGCTAAACCTAAAGAAACAAAGGAGGCAAGAGGAAATGGAAACTCTTCATGTTGGAACGATGTTGAAAGACAAATGGTTAAAGTGATATACCTGTCCAGTATTTGAGAAACCTGCCAGTGTAAATGCACCAGGATCAGTTTTGCTACTGCCGGTAAAACCTGCAAGAGATTAAAAAACAGAAACTGAAGAGTGTTTGGATTACATCCAAATCAAGACATCACAGCCAGGCGCGGTTCTAACAAAGGCCAGAATGGACAAAAAAGCAAATACATCTCAAGCTATTTGAAAGCACAGATAAAATCCAGATTAATTCCGGATTCAACTTTTCCTTGAAGGGAAAAGGATATTAACATTTTCTCGTCCAATTATTTTCCTTCCTTCATTGTCACATCACTTAGTATTACATTTTTGTCCAAGTTCTTGGGTGTAAACAGTGACTCTCACCTTCAGAGCAGCAGCCACAGTGTTTACTTCCTCCGTCAGCACCCGCTGGCTCTCTTTGTAAGTCAGACAGGTGAACTGGTATTCCTCGGGGTCGAAGGAATCTGCGCCCTGTTGCTCCACGTCGCTGGCCACCCCTTCATAGTAGCGTGCCATGTCACCCTGATCATCCTCTTCTCCCCCATCATCTTCATCCTCCTCTTCGGAGATCCCCCCGAAGTCTTCCTCGTTGCTGTCTGACGCCTGGCTGTTCATGTCCACAGACATCAAGTCGACTGGCTCAAATCACCCGGACAGGTAGACGACCCGCCTACCCGTCGGATCCAAGTGGTCCGGTTAGAGCAGAAATGGCTCGACTGATGCTCCACCTCTTCCCTTTGGGCCCCGCCCTCTTTCAGACCTGGTGTCACCTTTAGGAGACACCCTGCCCCCCCGTCTGCCTGAGGCGCGTTAGCAGCGCGCTCAGCAGCAGCGGAAGAAGCAGAAGAAGTCACACTCTCCGTCGCTCATTTGGAAACAGGGATACGGCACTATCTGAGGAGAAAGGAGGACAGGAGGCTGGAGATGGGAGAAATGAGGGAGAAAAAGGAGAACAATTTAAGAAGAGAAATATGAAACTCGCTGTTTAAAAAAAAAAAGAAAAAAAATATACACACATTTGGTTATTCGCTTGCCACAAAAAAAAGTTCTCACATTATACTGAATTTTAAAAATTTTTAATCAATTATTACAATCTAGGATATAAATAAAGTCCAACTAGAAAAGTCTAGCATATCTAAATACTTATATGTGAGCTGAAAATTTTTATTTTCTTACAATCTATATATGCTTCTTTTCGTGCATATAACCATTTCAATTTTAGCTCAATTCTAGATAACTGTGGAGCTAATATCTTGCAACAATACCAAAGCGTTGACTCCAGAAGTAAAGAAGTCTCTGCCAGGTTACAGGATGTTCTGTTTTAAACAGACCTGGTAGTTCGTCTAGTTATCCTTAATTTGTCTGATAGCAAACCTATTTTTCTTCTGAATCTCCAAATAATCTTGAAAAGGAAAATAAACGTTACCAAACCCAGAAAAACGTTTTTCTTTCTTTTTAACAAATTGGTTGACGATGACCTGAATCTGTTTGGGGGATGGCTTAATTTGTGTCCTGGTCTAATCACACATTTGTCCAAAAATTGACCACTCAGCAGGGAAAAAAAAGTAAATTTGTTTGTTTAAATACATCACTACTTATACATTTGTCTCTTCTTAAAACGGCAGTAGTCAATTTCCATTGAGGTAATCCAACATTGCATAGCCAGCTGTCTCTAATCAAGATAATTCATCATTAATCATCCAGTAAATAGACAGAATGTACCTTTCATGGTAAATACAGTTTTTTTGGAAATGTATTTTTGTTTTGCACTGGAGAGAACCTGGATGACAAATTGGTTTGTCATTGCACGAAGGAGGACCAGCTACTCAATATACTACGGTCATGCACTGCTAATGGAGCAGAGCCACGGTCTTTCCCTCACGCACAGCATTTGACCAGAGTAAATGTGTCTTTCATCAAAAGACACTTGTTGTACTCCGAGAGTGATAGATGGGCGACCAAATCAAGGAAAATTGTATTTAATCAGTAACAAAATCAGCATGAAATGAACACACGCCATATCTGAAAACAACCAAGGTGAACTTTTAATCATTTTTCAATATTGATTTTTTTCCGTTCCAGTCTTGTGACATGGGGTTTGTAAGAAAATATTGTAATTTCTGCAAAATATCCCCCATAAACCGTCTAGCCAAATTGCAGGGCAGAAGGGACTTTGGGATGCACATTTTCCAAAAGCGCACCTCTCTGGATTGTCAGAAAATATGTGAACACAGCCTGATTTGTTATACTATATTGGTGGAAACCTTTGTGGATCTATTATCTATGCAACCTCCCCTGTCATTTTCAGCATCATATAAAAGGAAGCTAAACAGACTATTAGTGAATTTCGTTGAATGAATATCCAATGATCCAGTCAGAGGTAAGTCTTTGGGAAAGGCGTGGGGGAAATACGAATCTTTCCAGTGGGGTGTCATCCCTAAATTACATGCATCTATTTAAGTCACACTCCTCTGGCACGGTTTCAAATAGTTTATTATATTTTTGTAAAAGAAGATGTTTTATAATCAGAAATGCATCCAATTGCACGAGGAGCGCCAAAAAGCTGCTCAACTTTTAACGGGTTTTCCGAAGACGGACTCCTCGCCACAGCGGGCCCAGGTAGCTCAGCTTAAGCAGACATGTGACTCATATTAACCGAGGTCAACAGACATCAAAGACGGCTGTTGGCATCGGGATTCAAATCTGACTTTGCAAATGCTGATCCAGAGGTAAAACACGGTCAGCGGGGAAAACCTGCCAACCGTGCCCGGTGCCAGCCCACAGGCAGACGGGGGGCTCGCGTTCCACCCGGTCCGGGATAAAAATAGGCAGCAAACTGGGTGACACACATCTCGCTAAGCTAATGTAACACAGCGACTCAGCACAGGTTAGATAACAGGTTTGGCAGAGAAGTCAAATAATGTGCTCGGTGCAGGATTAGGAGAACTGAGCGTCAAAAGTGCTCAGTTATCCCAGGACGTTTGGCTTTTCGGTGCGACTTCGGTGCATAAGATAAAAACAGCGGAGAGGAATCCACACAGCGGCTGGCTGGAGTTCCCTTTAGCCGGATTAGCTTTCTGGCTAAACGTGCTGGTAGCGCCGTTAAGCAGCGGTTGGAGAAACCCTCGACCACAGCGACTCACGTTACTTAGCGCTTTCAAAGCAGGCTTACGGAGCATTTCAAGAGAAAGTTAATTTTGTCCTCTACCAAGAACCGAACTCGCCACCCCTGCTTAGCATTCCACTCAGCTAAGCCTCTGCCTCTGAGTTACTCTAGTCCGGGGATTGAGATGTAAACAAGGCCCTCTGCGGCTCGCGAGTTAACACATACATTTAAACCAACGCTGCATTCACTGGCAGTGTTTAAGCTCCACGGCGTTTACCTCTCAGGGCGGACTTGACTCGGTCAGACGGGACGACCACAAACGGTAATTGTGCTGGGGAACCCAAGGAGCGATTTCCAGTCCTTTGCTGGGCTGCTGGGCGGAAGATAGACGGTTACAGGGGTGCTTATCAGTGACGTCACGTCCGCGTGGCTCTCGCCAGCCTCCCCTCTGTTTGGAGCGATAACATCACGCTCATATCCGGTAATGATGCGGCTTTTCTGTCTCAGAAAAACACCCGATAATTTAATCATCTGAACTGTGGTGTCCCGGGAGGTTGCTTTTTATCTCCTTCATTAAAAGAAAATGCTTTGATCAATTTTACTGAAGAATCTAAATGATTCATGTTAATCTATTGGGAGACAGATTATCTCTATTACCACGATTACACATTAATTCATACCCTGATAACACACTATCCCATGATTACATTGATTGTGGACAGAAATGATCACACATGCAGACTATAGAAATATATTTCCATCAAAAATGTGTTGCAGCATTACATCCTACTAAGGGAGGACACAAAAACTTTCACTTTTTGAATGTGGATCATCTGAAAAAAAAAGAAAGGTGAAGCATCACTGAAATCCTAGTGCATTGGAGATGCTCTTATGTAAAATACTATAGTTCTTAAAGTAGTGTCCAACACTTTGGTATCGATTCATGAGGTAAAAACCTCCCTTTTCCAGAAATGATCTCCTCTGGCACTTTGATCCGTCACACTATCATGTTAGAAATCTTCATTTATAAAATGCACCTGCTGTGTTTTTCCTACTTATAAGTGGTGCAGATTGAGGAGAGGACTGCAGACACTGCAGCTCTAGAGACAGATGGAATGTTACACTCAGGGTTATGGAGGATAAGAGCGATGGCTTAATATACAATGCATTATCCTCTAATGTACTGCTATGATGCATCTGAGAGAAGCAGATGGTCGAGGTCCAGGGCTAAATGCAAAGATAATTGATCTGGAACTGCTGAGGATGAACATCTAATGCTTTTAAATATTCATTATGTTGTTATTGAAGCTAAATAACACATTTTGATTTTAATATTATGGAAAGCTCCATAATGCCTTATTTATTCCAGTGTGGAGTTAGCTTCAATTAATCTGCAGCAACCTTTTTACCCAAAAGGTGAATTGAAGCTCCAACATTAGACAAAAAAAAAACTTTGCTAGTTTAAAAAAGGAAAGGCTTGTATGCACTTGCAGATGTTTTTTAACCTGCTCACATACAAACAAGCTCGATATATGCATAATGAATGAGTATTCAAAAGGCCTCAGCATCTGTCACTTGCATTACTCAAACATTCACAATCAGCCTCTGAGATAATAAAACACTATAAAAGTGTTGTCTAAGTTGAAAATGCAATGTCATCATCTTCCTGAATCCAAAGTTTAAATATAATCCAAGCAAAGATAACACCATTCATTTGAGTTGTTCAGCTTTTACTCATGAAACATTTCTTACAAAAATACTTTATATGTAGCGACCATTAGCACAGTGTGAACACAAATATAAAGAGAAAAGGGGAAATGGGGAGGGGTTGGAGTGGCACATGGAAACACAAAGAGTTGAAAACAGTTATCCTCCTGGAATGTTTAAAAGAGGAACTTGGGAGAACTCACGACTGAACAAAGAGTTGGAAACTGAATTTATGTTTGAGTTATTTTGACACTGCACCCTCATGAAGAGGCTTTCATGATCAACAAGGGCTTTCCTGTCTGATAAAAACAGGTCTAAACCAGTTACATAGATGTGGCAATCTGGGGTTAAAAGGCTTTTAACAGAAAGAACAGATCCATCAGAAATAACTGTTTGTGTTATTTGCAGTGCAATTGGAACACTGTGTATTGTTTTTGTTTTTTTAGCAACATAATCAATTCCCATCAGCATCGTGTTTTTACTATAATATCTCAGTACAGCATCAGCTAAAATGATCATGGGGGGGGTTTATGTGAATTTTCACACCGACATACAACTGTAAGGACACTTCTCACATTCAGGCAGAGTTTGTTCTCTCTGCGGCAAACAGAATTGTACTGGATACTGAAAATACTGACTACATGTATAGTATGCATATTTCCATTTACTCGTAGTGTTCTCGTACAAAAATACAGTATCTGAGACTACAGTCACAGAAACAGTGTAAAAACAGCAGGTATTATTCATTCAGCCTCACAGCTGGAGGAAATGTTCCTCCTTTTCCTTCCTCCATTGCTACTGTTCTCATGCTGGCCAGTTTTCCTAAAACGATTTAAGAGCTCTTGAATCCGCTCATGTGGAATATTCCTGCTCTGACGGCTTGTAAACATCTTAAGTAGCAAATATAATAGCAGTAAGTCAAGTGCTTGGCTGACAGAATCGTTAAAATTTTTAACTTGGTTTTGATCTCCGACATCACACTTTCTCAAAGGGGAACAAGTGCTGCTCCTGACCCTTTTTCTCTCGTTTTGTTATCTTCCTCTTCGGTCTGGTAGTACTCCCACCGTCCTCCTCCGCTTGCCTGTTTTGGGGCCAGGACATTGCGAGAGTCTCGGAAGCCGTCTTAGCATCAGGACAGCCACCCTCGACCTCTTCCTCGTCAGAGGAAAAGCCTCCAGCGTCGTTTCCCTGAGCAGCGAGCCCCTGGCCCTTTTTACTGTAGCGCTGTTTCAGCCTCTCTCCGATCAGGAGCCCCTTTGTAAGCAGTGTCCAGTTGGCGATCACTCGCTTCTCTTTTTTCTGGAGGGAGGAAAAGTTGGGGGGCTCACGTGAAGTTTAAATGCTAAACACACTCTGAAGTTATGTTTTTACGTAAACCAACTTTTGTAAATAACACTCCGATGAGAGAAAAATAAATAAGAAAATACCTCTTTTTCCTTCTGCTTCTGAATCTCTTGTTCTTCCACCCAGGCAGCTCTGAGAATCTCCTCATCCTCCTCACACACAATATAACCATCAGTCCTAAAACACACAAAAAGAAAAATCTTTTACATTTAATCATTCATGGTGGTAGACAATATTGATGTCCAAACAGTGGATTGAGCAACGCGTATCCTTTAATAGTGTATGCCTAGTAATAAAAAGGGTTTTAAAAAGATTGCATTTTGAGCGGATTTTCAGTATGATCCAAATGCAGACTATTGAGTGAGGAGGTCTCAGTTTAAAAAATGTCCCCCAAAAAAAGAAAACTAGAAAAAATATTATACAATATGTGCATCCTAGCCGTGAGCGGCGGTGAACCGCAGGGTGCTCTACATACAGTTTCAGGTCTGCAAATGTGTGATAAAAAAGGTTTTAAAAGTAAAAAATGAGTCACAGTTTACGGTTTAGTGTTGTTTAACTGATGCTATCCTGTGTGACTCAGCTTGGTCTTACACGGCGTGGGAGTATCCTCCATGGTAGTCGAAGCCTGTCACTGCGGGTGCAGCGTCCAGGTTGAGCTTCCTGGCCACTCGGTGCAGGTTGGGCAGCCTGAGGTGGACACAGCCCACCGGCAGCATGCAGGCTTTAAACAGGTACACGTTCCCGTAGTCGTTGCGAGGGACCTAGGCGAAGTTTAAGAAAGTTCAATAAGTGGATGACGAATGATCAATGTACCTCTTAATCAGAATATTATCAAATATTAAGAAATATTCCGGTGCCGCTGCCACAAATCTTTTTTTCTGCTTTTTCAATTGTGTGGATTTCATGATATTTTGGGGTTCGGATGGTTATAAAAAATTAAACAAAGTAGCTAAACACTGAATTTGGTTTCTTCCAGGGAGCAATTTGTTTGGTTTGAATAATATTTAACCATTTTTTTTTTTATATTCTTGATTTCTTATTTACAGCTTACTAAATTTCTGCGCTGTATCTTAACATTTCCTGCTCCAGAGACGTTTCCCACGGTTCAAGACAGCTACCTTCCCATCCACGGCTATTGGTGGTTGATACTCTTCGGTTTGCCAGTCCCCAAACAGAGGCAGGTCCTTCTCGTCCTTAGCTTCGGACATCATCCGGGCCTTTCGCGACCGATTAGAAAAGCCTTTAACCATCTGAAGAAGAAAGCAGTGACAACACGAAAGTTTATTGAACTGAGTTTGCATGAGAATGTTTCTATTAATGTCAGAAGAAGCCTAGACATAAAAATGTGTGATGAAATCTACCCAAAAACCTCTTTAAAAATGTTCCTTTGCTTATTCCGTCTACAAAATGGGGACAGAATGTCAATGAGTGGACTGTGAGCGCGCCTTCATTATGAGGTGGACGTCTCTTCAGAATGCTCCGCTTATCTGACAGCACCAGCCCCAAATCATGCAAATAAAGACCACTCGGCTGCTTTATCTGCAGCCTCAAGTGTGATGACATTCAAGGGAAAATACAAATGGAGCAAACGCTGACAGAGAAGGAGGATCGAAATGCCAATTAGGAGAGGGACGGACAACGAGAGCCAATATGATGACGGTAGGCCTTCACCTTGTAGGGCTCCTCTCCGAGGCGGACAGTCCGCGCCTCTTTCAGCCACGTGTCTCTGGAGTGGAGGGTATGCACACAATCCCTGAGGAAGAGTTAGATGGAAATAATAACTAGAAAATATTATCTATGATATGATGTACCGGGGCCGTCAAGACATTTAGACTAAGATGCAGCCGTTTGTGTCCTCCGGGTTACATATCAGATGGCTTTGGACCCAACAGTGGTGCTGCGTGTATGCAGTCAAAGCTTAAACTATGAGGGGAAGCTGTGTGAACATAGACGTATTAACATCAAACGTGTTCTGGTTAAGCTAAAGCTCTGGGTAACAAAATCTGTGAGGAGAGTCCCGTCTTTCAAATATACCAGTAAGAGGGGAAAAGAATTTGTCTGAATTAGAGTACTTTAGAGATTATTTGGGGATTTATTCTAAAACTGGATATGTGATAAGCACCCCTAATTTTGCTAAATGAAGATAAAATGGCATTACATTTGGAGATTAAATAGAAAATCTAATTCATGTAGAAAAGCTTGGTTATTGTAATTTAAATTATTTATCGCCCAATTCAGTTGCAGCTACACAGCTGCTTTTACTGATCCCGGATGAATAACATGAATTTAAAGAGAGCAGTGAAATATGTCTTTACAAGTGGCAAGAATAAAGCATTTCCCTTTCTTTTTTAGTCATGCTGAGTCAACATGGATAAAGCGCGCGCACAAACCAAGCAGAGACTTCGTGGACTACTCAGACATCTGAATACTTCACACTCCAGAACTGGGTCAAAACTGCTGCTCTGCTTCAAAAGGTTCTCAACTTTTTCTCATCCATAGCGCTGCATAAATCAGCATTTAAAATCAGAACAAGCCTGGTTAGCTGAATCAAAGTGTTTGAAGGGATTTTGGAAAAGCCTGCGGTCGTGGTGGAGGCAATACTGACCGGGAGTACACCGGCTCTCCCCTGCAGTACCCCAGCACAGAGGCCGTTTCGGGATAGAGCGCCTCGTACTTCAGCAGGTGTCTCTTTAAAACATAAAGAGGGTGGTTCTTGTACTCGGCGATAGAGGTCGGCAGGGGTTTGTTCAGAAGCTTGTTCTGGAGCTGCAAGAGGGGCGACATAAGGAAATACAGTGAGTTAAAACTCCTAAGGCCCTTTTTATCAATGTCTTTTTAATGAGTACACCTGGCCTGAGTCCACTCTCAACTCTCTAAACCCACTTACATCAGGCCTGAGATGGTTAGCCCGCTGACCCAGACTAGACATAATATACAATGCATTGGTAAAGTTATTTGGTGTGGTGTAGAGCGCACCTCCTTCTCCTCCTTAATATCCCTCTCGTCCTCTGGTCCCAAGAACGGCTCAAGGGTTTCCTCCCACCACTCGTCATCCACCCGCCTCTTCCGGGACGACGTCATCCAGGTGGGGTCGTACTTCCTCCCCAGATCCTTCAGAAAGCCGTCTCCGTCCACGGCCACCACGTACCTCACGGGCGCCGTGGCATTCTGGGAGCAGAGATGAGGCTTTCCGACTCCGTGCTCCACGTCCACGCAGACCCAGGACGAGGCTTTGTCCAGGTACACCTCCAGCCATTCGTCCGCTCCGGGCCCCTCCTTCCTTCCACTCCTCCTTTTTGTCCCGCCGCCAGTGACTTCGTCGTCATCCTCTTCCCCTGCCTCACACTCGCTGTCCTCTTCGTCTTTCACCTGGACTTTCTTCCCGCCGCCGCTCCCTCTTTTTCCAGTCGCTGGCTTCTTCTTGCTCGTCTCTTTGGCCTCCCCTTGTTCTTTCCGTTTCCCTTTCTTCCCCTTCCTCGGCGCCGCCCCTCTCTCTGAATCCTCGCTGTCGTCCTCGCTGGTCCCCTGAAACTCCGTATCTGTAAAGTCCTCGTCCCCTGCTGCTCTCTCGCTGTCGCTGTCCTCCTTGTAGCTGACCTTTGAGGCCACGCTGCGGCGTTTCGAGTTCTTTGGTCTCTGCCCTCCTGATGGCACAAGCTTCTCTTCCTCCTCCACCTTCATTTCTTTCCTCTTTGCCTTCTTTCCTCCTCTGCCACCCTTCATGTTCTGGCCTGCTGGCCTTTTGCCGCCTGGTGACACCTTCTGCTCTGGGGAGTTGATCTTGGAGCTTTCTTGGCTTTTCTGGCCCTTTTTTGGGGCACCAGAGGATGTTGTTGCGCCTTTACTCTAAAGAGTTAACAGATGTTTATTAGAATGAGGAAAGCGGTTCAGAACAGAAGTAAGCAGACAAACTGCTTGCAGAGCGGACTCTGTGTTTATAACTTGTTTCAGCCTTTGTAGACGCAGCGTCTATTTAAAAGATATCTCATATCTATTAAACTATGACTACAGAATTAGTTGAATTTATAATATTTAAAGTAAAGTACATTGTCTCTTGCTTTTTACCCTTCTGCATCAAGAGAAAATAATTAAAACTTTTATGTAATCAATGAACACTTAGTGTAACAGATGATCTAGTGTAACTGTTCATTTACACATGCCTTCGGTCTTCTTTTTCTTTTTTCAACCATTTTCATTCCCCAACTGTTGTGTGAATGTTTGAGATAGAAAACCCAGGTTGGAATACACTGCCACATACGCATGTCTTCTATTAAAAGGGGCAAAATAGACCTTGGGTTTATACCTTGGCTGATGAGGGTTTAAAAGAAACCGGCTGCAGAGAGAGAACCAGTCGACAGAAGAGCTGTAGAGACTTCAGCACCAGCAGGAAAAGCTGCAGCACAAAGAGGAACGTCGTTATTCCTCCACCTGAACGGGCAGGTTTAATTCTAGTGGAAAAGCTACCGACATGAGTCATCTCCTGGTGGTCTCTGGCTGAGAGGCTCCCCAGCTGCCTCTCCAGGAGGGCTCGCTGATTCTGACGCTCCTCACAGGGAAGACTGGGGTTGAGGGTGAACGTTGCTCTAAACCTAAAAGGCAAAGGGATGAAAGTGGAATCAAAAGTCACAAAGTCCACAACTGCTATAGAGAACTGTGTTCAGTAGGGGGTTATCAGCTACAGTGAAGATCTTAATGTCTATTTTACCTGGTCAAGTTCAGGGTTAGTATCAAATTTATCTGATGAAATACAACACCGTTTTCCAATTTCAGACATTTGGATTAAACATACACTTGTATGCAGGGGACACTTTAGAGGCACAAACCATTTGAGCAATCCTGAGAGGTAGCCTTGGTCGATACGTTCTTTGGCTACCATGCTGAAGTGGGGGGGCAGCAGGGACAAGGTGATGGCCAGCAGGTCTGGTTCACTGCACAACCTGTTGCGGAACATCCCATTGGCTAGAAGGCACATGAGGTGAACCTGAGAGACCAATCAGAGGACGGTAAGGATCTGAAATCCTGCGGTGCTGACGCATCAGACGACGGGCCCAGAAGTTGGTACGGTGTGTGTTTTCACCTTGTGTGTGTCCATCAGCAGGTCCATCTTATACTTCTTCATCATTCGTTTCAGGTAAGTCTCAAACTCCGCCTTCCTCTTCTTCCTGGCCAATCGGAAGCAAAGAATTAAGTATGAAATAAGTCATTCTCTCATTGAAAATCCCTACAGGAAGACAAAAGGAATAGATTGTACAGTTAAATTAAACACTGCTTACACAGTTTGCATCTTCCTTATGAAATACAGACTGTGTTTCACTTTGACCTCATCAACAATAACTGAACAAGAAAGTTTTAACCACATTCATATTCAGCACAAAAGCATTGTGGGTCATTTTCACTTACTGCTTTCTTGCTTCTGCAGTTTCAATCTCGATCTCTACAGGCTGGGACGGCAGGGTGGGCTCAGGCGGCTCAACTGGACCCATCGGCTCAGCTAGCTCTGACAGAAACACACAACTTTTTATTTTATTTCTGTCTCCCAGTTCTTTCGTACTGTAATGAAAATCCTGAGCAACTGATGTTGCAATATTTTGTTGCTTTGGTACACTACAAACACTACAGAAAAAATAGCACAACTGTAAATATTAGTTGTTGTTTTTTTTGTTTTTACTCATTCCTCACTAACCTTCCACCTCTTCCCAGTCATCTTCATCCTCGCTTTCATCATCGTCCTCCAACTCTTCTTCAGATTTTTTGGTGCTTAGCTTAGCTTTGTTTATAGGTGGTGGCGAGGTCACCATGTCGAAGTCATTTTCACTGTCGCTCTCTTCCTTAACTGGAGACTGGAAGTATTTACTGGTTTTGGCATCTGAGCTGGGGTTGGATTTGGAGGGAGAGCATTTCCGTGCAGCTCGTTTGGAAGGCAATCGCGATTTAGGATTGACCTTCCTCTGAAGCTTTTCCTCTTTCTCGGGGAGATCTTAGGATGGAACACAAAGACTCCCAATTAGGATATACAGTTTAATTTTCAAACAGCGTAACTGAACCTTCTTCAGAAACAGTTGAACATTATATTTGAAGAAAAAAAAAAATGAAAACCTCAAAACCGTCAACCAACAATAGTGTCTTACGTTCCCCTGTGTCAGAGTGTGTTTGTTTTTTTCGGTTTTATTCCAATTAACATTTACTTGAAAAGTCAAATGGGTAAAATGTTATGATTTACCAGATAACTGATTCAAACATGAGATATACTACACAAAACACAGCTGCGTCCATCTACAAGTGTACAAGACAGAACCAGCAAATAAGCGAGCTGGACAAACCCGCATTAACACCGGCTTTGGAAGGGAAAACAAGAAGTGTGGCTCTTGTTTTGATGAAGTAGAGCACAGATGTGCATTTAGGCCAGCAGATCCACTCCAGTAACCATGCACCTGCCCTGAGTGCCTCTTTACGGCAGCACTAACAAACCAACCACATCTGTTCTACATAAGTTCACAACAGTAAAAACAAGCTCATCTTCCACCACAACGAACATAAAAACCAGAACAAAGAGGAAATGCATTGCAAAACTGTGCAGTCTTGATTCCAACTGAGCTGCTTTTCCTTTAAGTTGCTTCACAGACCTTTAGTTCAAAGCAGTCCAATCAAAGTGATAGATGTGTTTTATTCAATATGCAAAAAATTACAATCGTAAGCCCACGAATACTAATTAATGAAACACAGTGTTGTTGCAGCAGCATCCAGGGACCACTTTGGTGGACGGTTCTGACACGTGAACGCACCTCAGAGCTACACAGACTGACCCCAGCTACCACAAACGTGGTTCCTTTCTGCATGCTAGTCAGAAACAGTGAGGTCATCTTAGTAAACGGGCATGTCTGATTTTGACTCCACATACCTGCATTTTTCTTCTTGGCTCTTGTTCCTGCTCCTTTGCCCTCCACTTTCTGCACCTGCCTCTGTTTCTTTGTATCGGCCACCGTCTCTTTGCACTGTCTCCGCTTCGCCATGCTGCCCTCTGTCTCTCCTGGAGTCACAGATACTTTCCGGGGACGTGTTTGCTAGACGAAGGGCCGCCGTTCGGGTCTCCACATGGTATTGTATAACGCCAAAGAGGTGGCTGTTACTCAACCTTTCATTCACGAGTTTTCATAACAGAAGAAACTGCGTCCGCTTGTTTTGGGGGCCGGGTGATGACGTCACTTCCGCTCCACTTCCTCTTCTCTTCCATTTATCCCGCTGCAAAAAACACTCTAATATCTTAAGATGTGGTTTTCAATTACTTTTATCCTTTAAATTAGTCTTGCTAAATAGTCCTAGGTGCTTTCTATATGTCGGTCCAGTTTTTTTCCTCAGGTCTCAGTTATTGAAGCACTGTGTCACAACATTTGCAAAGAACAGAAGAAAAGGCTGCGAATAGCCAAAGAAGAGCTTTGGAGCTTTTCAGAGTGTCTTAAAAATGATAATGGTCTTTCATCAAATATTAACGTTTAAGTTTGTTATAATTGTCTAAACTCTGCGTTTGTCTGCATTTTTAATGATAGATTCATCTCAATAAGTCACCACATATTTCCCCTTTGCCATGGATCTCATTGGGGGTGGTGTTGCCTTCATGTTTGTCTGCTATGCAGTACCACTAAGTCACACTGGGTGACAATGTTGTGCCACACAGATCATGAAACTGTCACACACCCAGTGTGAACATACTCCTTTCCAATTGCCAACGCTTCATATTCCTGATATTTGACTGTAATCATGACCACAGATATATGTTTATTTTAATATTCATTGCATTTAGCTAAAATAAAACATAGGCTAAGCATTTTTTATAAGTTGCCACAGCTATAAATCCAAAGAGGCACTAAACAGATACCAATTTTCTTTTTTTACCAGGAAAATTAATCCAAAATCCAATATTTCAGCCAGCCATTTCAAGAATATTCCAAACATTCAAATCTTGTATTTAAACCTTAACCCGAATGACTCACTGGATCACATTAAGAAATAAAATGTGATTTATCAGTTAATTTGATGTTGTCACAGAGTGTAGGGATAATACGAAGAAAATTTTACAGTAATATACGTTTTTTAAAACTTAATACTGCCCATCAATTCAGTTTTCAGGGGATGATTTAGTCTATGCAAGACTTTGTTGAGTTTGAATCATGAAATTTAAAAAAGGAAGAGAGAGAATGTTATACTTGAACTCAGGTGCAGATTTTCCATCAGTGTGATGCTGAGTGGATCTTACAGTGTCAACATGAGCCCATTAACAAGCCCAGCCAACTGTCTGTCAAAATCACCTGGTTAGTGAGAACAAATGTTTGTTGACAGGTCTCAAAATAAGTAGCAGTAAAGCTGATGTCAGGTCATTTGAAGCAGAACCAGTTGTGACAGATTTAATGTAAGTCTCTGCAGCTATCCACCTTATTTGGGGACTGAATGTGCAGAGGGGCATACAAAGTTCATACCGTGATCGAGCTGTGGAGTTTATTGTTCATCAGACTTTCTTTTTTTATTGCTTTTTCTCAAATCCTGTTTTCTACGTGATCTTTTGTTACTCTCCATAAAAGGTGAACACGCTGTTCATGGAATGGTCTCAGAAAACAAAAGGAGCATGTGTGGTCATGAAGGTTTCACGTTCTAGCCTGGCTTCAGACACGAATGTGGTTAAAATCATTCATGCATTCACCACATCTTTAAGGTCTCACGGCCTCCCACCCGGCACCGACTGGTATTCATCGCTGCGGGATTCTGAAAAAGACTTTGGAGTGGAAGGAACCATGACTGAATTCATTCTTTATCTTATTTGGCAACAAGTCTGTGTGACTCCTCAGAAATGAGTTCTCCCTCTCCATTCTGAATCAATTCAGTTCAATTTCATTTTCATTTGGTTCTGTTTTGATCTGTATCGATCACATTGGGATTCTGTGGCAGATGTGTGTGTTTCACTTCAGAGAGTCTGTCTGTCAGCTGATACAGTTCGACAGCTTCAGACTGACTCGCTGCAGCAGGGGCCTGATGGCAGGGGGCCGTTTCCATCTTGCGTGTGTGTGATGCATGCAGCATACATATGCACACCTACTGCATGAATACGCATAAATGAATGCATGTTTACGTGCAGAGGGCATGTGCATCCATATTTTCTGTCGGGGTGTGTGACAGGCTTTCGATTCACAGTTGCTTGGACGTGTGCTTGCATTTGTTGCCTTCTGCGAGGATGTGGAGGGCGTGTTTATTCTGAGAATGTGTGTGTGTCTGTGTGTGTGTGTGAAGTGAAAAAGCTGAAGTCCATGGTCCAGTGTGCTGTGCTTCCAGCGCAGTGCATGGCTTCCATCCCTATATGAACCATTAGGACAGTCAGATAGGAATAAAAAGCCATACAGTGCACTGGGCATTGTGAGGACTGGATCTCAAGAGCAAGAATGCACGTGTACAAAAGCACACGCACACACAATAAGATGGTAGAAGGTAAAAGGTTCAAATAAACCCCCCTGCAGATAGCAAAACTTGAAAAAGCAGGTGTAGGACATGGACACCTGGAGAAGAAAACAAACTGGAAGACAAGCCATGGGAAAAACAGCATCATATTTGCACTGAAACAGTGAGTGTGTAAGTGAGATGTATATGAATCTGAATGTTATCGTTGAGGTGCGGCAACAGGTTTATTGTCCATAAATCACCAAACTATACCATTATCGCCAAAGCTAACCTCCCAGGTATTGGTATTTCCAACTATCTCCTGATGGTCAAAACCATGCCTTCTACATCTTGATATGTTATTCCTCATACAATGCTCTGTTTTAGATGACAACATTTATAAAGGTCCTCTCTTGGACATGAGGTTACCTGGCAGGTCTGTCTCTCTCTCTGCTTACATTTTGTCCTTTGCCTCTTTTTAATTTAACTTTACTCTCCTCAACAAGCACATCACGTTGAAATCGTTTTGTCTTTAAGAAACAAAAAATAACACACATTGAAAGCACATTATCACAAATTATGCTTTTTCCTGATGCATGACATTGTAAAGAGAAAGAAGGAGGGACACATTCATCCATCTGCCTGTTCTAACAGGCACACCAAATGCTTCCCTAGATGTTCCGCTGATATATTTTAATCCATTTTCATCATTCTTGCATGGAAGATATGTGTCCACACCATGACGTTACAGCCAAATCCAACATCATCTGGCTTTTTGTCTGTTTAAACATGTCACCTTGTGTGACAGGACAGACGGTGAAGATAGAGACTTTTTTTGTGCCAGTGTGGATCCAACTGTCTGGATGACATTTTAAGGCATTTTAAGGCGTTTTCTGCTAAAATTGCGTGAGGAATTCCATCACCTGTTGTCCTATGCAATAGTATTTAGAGGAAAAGTTATGAAGTGAGATTTGAATTGTCTGGATGAAAGCTGCATACTTTAGCTGGAAAATGGGTTCAATGAATAAAACAAAAGACGGAGACCCCCTTCTTTCTGGACATTTTCTGGAATATACCTAAAACAAACGACAGCTCAAAGGGATCAGAATTGAGAACAGACTCAATAAGAAGACATATTTCTGCAGTGAAGTTTATGCTCGGTGCTCCAAGTGGAGCATGAAACGAAATCCTCTGTCTGAAATTTCCTTTGCTGTTCCGGAGTGTTTCACAAAGCTCGTGATTGATTTCATGCAAGACTCTTTGGCAAGAAAACGCATTACCCTAAAACTAAAACGTCAGCTTTCACCTATAAACCCTGCAAGTCTAGGGAAGGAATGTTTTTTTTATTTATTATTATTCTAAAGAAATAAAGCCTGAGAAAGCTTTTCTGTCGCGCCTTACGAGGCTTCACAACTTCAAGAGGCGGATATGAAATAAATCCAATTACCAAGCCGTCAATCAGGCCGCTAATTAGTGCGACTCCGGCAGACTGAGCGGCATCAAAGCTGGAAACTGAAAATAGAGGTGACGAAGGGAGATCAGAACTGAAATATTTGCGTCAGTAAAAAAAGAAATATTCAGAGAGAGCTGGCAAATTCGCGGCAGAAAAAGAATAACTACCAGAAATAAATCTCCTCTCAGACTCCTCAACCTCTAGACGAGCTGCTGCTATTTCTGGATCGCCTCAGACGAGCAACAGCAGCCAGAGGGGGAGGAGGGGGCGCCGAGAGGAGGCGAGCATCTGTGCGTCCGAGCCGGGCCACTGCAGGTCTACCTGTGACCTATACCTGCGATTCCCCTCTCTGTGTCCACCGTCCGGGCTGCTGGGACTTCTGAGCCCGCAGAGGGATCCCAGCAAACAGTGTCCGGTTCAAACAGGTGGGCTCCGGGCTCATGCCTGGGCTTCTCCTCCTCGAGGTCAGTAGAATTGCCCAAAATAGCTGCTTGCGCCCGGGCACGCTCTTCTCGTCCAGAAGGGAAGGGGTCAGTGATGCTGCCTCTGCCGCCGGTGGCTATGTGGAGTTTGACCGCCCCTTTACGCATCTGTGCGTATTTCCATTCAGCGGCAGAGGCAACCAGTCAGAGAGGGAGAGGGAGAGAAAGTGAGAGCAGGAAGGGAGGTGTGGTGGAAAAGGACAGGAGGAGGGGGAGGGGGTGAGGCAACAAAAGCCCACAAGTGAGGAGGAGCCAACAAAAGAAAGATGTGAGGGAAAGAAAAAAAAAACGCAAGAAGGGGGCATCATCATACCTGAACAGGAGACTCCCCTCTGCTTCTATGTGTGTGTGTGTGTGTGTGTGTGTGTGTGTTATATGTGTGTGTGTGGACAGACAGAAGGTGTGAGGGAGGGGAGGCTTATGTCGCCTGAGTGACGCACAGCGTTAATAAAAGCCGGCACAGGGGCTGAATAGGGCTCTTTTCTGTCTCATTCAAATACCGCCAGAAAGCACTTTCATTCTGCTGATAAAGTAGAGGGACGGTGTGTGTGGTGGCACATTGAGCAAGGATGGATGGGTGTGTGTGTGCGTGCGTGCGTGTGTTTCCCTCTACATCTCCATGTGTTTGCCCTCGTTCTCACCATCTCTCCCCATGTCTCTTTCACTGGCATTTACATTGCAAACAGCCAGACAAACAGACGAGTGGTTGTACAGGCTGACTGATGGCTGATCGACAGAAGCCCCAAATAAGGCAGGACCCCAAGAGTGGAGGGAAATCTAAGAAACAGAGTATGAGTTAAGCTTCAACCAGTAAGGTTAAAAAAGTGA